CAAATTTTCAATATGCATATTTTTCACAGTTTAAATTTTCAGTGTTAAAAAATTCAGCATATAAAAAATTCAACTTTTCAAAATTCAAATGCAATATTTTCGTTGTCCTCCAATTCAACTTGCTCAAATTCGCCGTCTCAAATTCAGCGTCTAAAAATTCGCTGTAAAAATGGCCAAGGTTACTTCAGGTCACAGACATTAGCAATGGATGTCCGATTCAACATCCACCTAATCACGTGACACCACCGTCATATTGGAGAAGTACCAGTGTCACCCAGGCTGGCGACCATGGAGGCGAACTCAAACCCAACGGTGAGTTTAATGCTTTCATATTTCTGTAGTATATTTTATTTTGCGCATGAAGTTTGATACATTATCTTAAAGCCTGATTTAAAACACTGGTTTGGGCCGTTGTTAATCTTACCCCGTGTAGTGCCGGCATATTACTTCTCGCTACCTCCTAGCACCCCCCCCTCCTCCCCCACCCAATTTCCCCCGTTTTATTTAAAAATGAAATACCACTTGCGCCAAGTCTAGAATCTTTAAAGAGAACTGATGGGTGGTGACTTTCTGGGTTGTTTGTATGTTTTCTTAGGTGAGACTGAGACAGGCAGTCTTAGTAAAGTCGTAATTTTTCAGGAGATGCTACCGCTAATGTAGTAAGCTAATGGCTGCCTTGTGTGCTTCAAAGAGGGGCTGTGAACACTTCCGACCCCACTCTGATCAGCTACTGTATTGTTTAGGTGACTTCATTTATGAATTAATTGAGAAATGTATTGTCATTACAACATCATTCAAAATACTGCTTCTCTTATCTGACAAATGTTGATATACAACATTAATTTACATTCTTTTTACTTTGCGGTATAAAACCTCGTTCTGTTACCTAGCAACACTATAAACAAACCCCTTTGTTTATTTCAGTTGATTTTAACTTATCTTCAAGAAAATATATGCTTGTAAGTACATCTGTTGACTTATTTTAGATTAAATATAATAATTTGATTTATATTACTGTGATTTCTCAATACTGACCAACTGATTTCAAAATACGTTTTTATTTTACGGACATTTTTTTTAACATGTTTTTTTCTTTTTTCTCTTTTCAAGGAACTTTTGCTGGATCATATTTTTGATAGGCTCCGTGATCGTTTGGAGTATGTTCTTGAACGTATGCCCCTGGATCTGGATTTCCTAGACTTTATCTGCACTCAAGAACTAGTTTTTTTAAATGCCATGTCTTGTCAAATAGATCTTCCTTCAATTATTTTGGATGCGCTGGCTCATTTGCACAGACTAATTAATTTAGAAAAACAAAGTGAAAAACAACAAACAACTGTTGTGCATATGGAGCAAGGACCACGGATGGTCATATCCTCAGACTACCTTTGCAGTCTTTTAGAACTCCATCTCCCTGTCCCATGCATCGCCAAACTCTTGGGTGTATCCAGACGGACTTTATATCGACGGATGGCAGAGTCTGGTTTTTCAGTGAGGGCATTATAAGCCACCATGTCAGATGATGACTTAGACCAATGTGTGAGAGACATTAAATCCAGGCAGCCTCACTCTGGGTACCGAATGGTAAAGGCCCTTCTGCAAGCCAGAGGACTGAGGGTGCAGTATGATAGAGTCAGAGCATCCATGCATCGTGTAGACACCATTGGAATGGCATCACGTATGGTCCAGCTAGGATGCATAGCTCGACGGACGTACTCAGTTCCTGGCCCTCAGTCTTTGATGCACATTGATACCAACCACAAATTAATACGGTAAATCATTTATCTTTTTCAGTGAGGGGCTTCTAACTTTGAAGTATGCTTGTTAAATAGATTCAACTAATGTAGCATTTTTGTTCTTTCATAGCATGTCATATACCTTTTGGAATTAAAAGCGCAGCTTTTTTCAGCATTATATACAGTGGAGTATAAAATATGTCCACAACAGCCAGAGTTCTGTATGTTGTGCTTCAACATAGCCAAACATAAGCAGTACCTGATCTGCCTCTGCAGACCTTGCTTCAAATAAAAAATAAAAAAACTTTCCTTATTCCAAAAGGAAATTAAATGTTGTAACTCATTAATTTAGCTTATTCAAAGAGTTATTGCAGATGGTGATGGCAGGAAAGATCTCTTGTAGTGTTCTGTATCACAGTCAACCTAAAGAAGCCTTTGACTGTAAATACTATTTTCTCAGGATACTCTCATGAAGATGTTGTCAGGGTCAGGGTTGTCCAGCATTTTCTATTGAAGAAGAATCCTTCTTTGCACAAGTATCTCCAGAGGTTCCACATTTGTCCCCAGAACAGAACCAAACTTTTTTATCAGGCTGTTGAGCCTTTTTAGGTCTCTGGTTCTGATGCTGCTGCCCCAACAGATGACGGCTGAAGAGATGAAGCTCTCAACACAAACTGATAGAAGATCTGCAGCATCTTCCTGCAAACTTTGAAGGAACGTAGCTTCCTCAATAAGCCCTATTTTATCTGCCCCTTCTTACAGAAATTCATAATGCAAGAGAAGCAAGCCTTTTTAGTGACAGTATTTAATCATAATGATGATATATTTTCTGTTATTTTTAGGTACAACATTGTTATCTTTGGTGGCATTGATGGTTTTTCTCAAAAGGTGCAGTATCTTCTATCAATGCATAAATGCAGAATTTCATAAGCTATGAAATTGACTGTTACATTTTTGCTGTGTTGTGCAGATAATGTATCTTGGTACAGCTCCCAACAACCTGGCATCTACCACACTGGCTTTCTTTCAGGGCTCAGTGGAGGAGTTTGGTTTCCCCCTCAGGTAAAGGTTTACAGTCCATCTTAATCCTTTTGAGTCAAGGAAGAAAGATTAAAAGTCAGCATCAACTAACTTTTCTCCAAAATATAGGAGCTTGTTATATATCATTAGGTTTTGAGTAATGATGGAAAAAGTGAAACCTTACAAGAACAAGACATTTTCCAATGTTATAACTTAGAATTTTGGAGTAATATCTAGTTTCACTGTCAGATTATATCGCTTATAGCTATTACTTTTTCATCAATATTAAGAACTTTTAGACTTAAAAGGAGCTTGCTGAAAAGTTACTTGTAAGTTAGTTTTGTCTTGTGTCAAGTGTCC